TGTTTCAGGGTTTCTGTAAGAATGTACTTAGGTGACTTCTTTTTGGACCTTTTTTCTTTGCATTGCATGATGTTGTTCTTCTACTTTTCCTACAATAGTTCAGACATAGATACAAACAAGAGGGTTTGGGGAGATTCCTGGAAGGGGTTGGTATTGATAAGAAGAATTAGCAAAAAGCATAGCTGTCTTCAGAGAGTTTGTGAGGGCCAGACCATTAGAAAAAAAATGGTTCAGAAGAAATAAACTACAGTAGAACCGCAACTGTTAGCCCATCTCCCATGGGTGTTCCCATCAGTCCTGCTTGGATGCATTCCAAACAGCAACTTTCCACTCTGATCTTTTAGGGCAGCATGTAACCAGGCCTCACTGAGAGGAGAAATCCAAGAAGAGCGTAGACAAACACACATGAGATGAACCTCACAATAAAAGGAAACACACTCTGGGAAACATGGTTAAGAAATATCAGACTTGATTAATAACAGAGCCTTCAACAGCCTTGGAGAGATCCAATACAAACTAAATTCAAGTTACATGCCAGTGCTTCTAGTCATATTTATTTATTTATTTGAGATGAAGTCTAGCCTTGTCATCCAGGCTGGAGTGCAGTGGCACAATCACAACTCAGTGAAACCTCTCCCTCCCAGGTTCAAGCAATCCTCCTTCCTCAGCATCCCGAGTAGCTGAGACTACAGACACACACCACCACACCCAGTTAATTTTTGTATTTTTAGTAAAGAAGGGGCTTCACCATGTTAGCCAAGCTGGTCTTGAACTCCTGACCTCAGGTGATCTCCCTGCTTGGCCTCCTAAAGTGCTGGGATTACAGACATGAGCCACCATGCCCAGCCCATATTTACTTTCAATTGGTTATGTTTACAAAAAAAATCTTAAAGGGAAACTCTTTAAGAAAAACAAATCTGGTTAAAAATTACATTCTTCTAGGTAATGAAAAGTAGGTAAACAACATTAATTTTGGATTAAAAAAATTAAAAACAGCTTCTTAAAAATTGATTCATTAAAAAAAAAAATCGGGAAAAGATGGAAACTTCCAGTAGGAAATGTAAAGCTGAGATGAAGTTAAAAGAGAATGTCACTGAATGGGAAAATATATAATATTTTTAAAATGCAATTTTAAATCATGCATAACTTGTCTTGGAGTTCATCCCAGATAAGTATCAGTATAGTCAGGGATAATGACGAATTCTGGATTAGAATTGCGTAAAGGTTTGAAATAGCAGTAAGCTCCAGTCTTGGGAATGCAAACTGGATGACATTTTGGAATGTCCTACTATTGAAAAGGAGGGAAATGAAGCTTAACCCCATATGTCAGCGTATTCTCATAAACAGCCACCTAAAAGGGCATAGCCACAGATGCACTTAAACAGAGCTACAGATACACACGTGGACATGGATCACATAGATACCTGTTTTAGGATATGAAAAATTTCCTAGGTCACAATGATAAAAGTGCAATGGTTTTCAGAAAAAGAAGGTCATTTCCTATCCTGGCTCAGAATGTTAAAAAAATGATTTTCTCATAACATTTTCTAATGACTCTTCCAGTCACAGTCTCCTATGGAAGCATAATTTATGTAGTGGATGACAAAAGAGTTTTATGATATCTGAAATTCATTTAAAATCTTTAGATTGGAAAAATTGAGATCCAATTAAAATCTTAATAAATGATTCTGTTGCATATAAATATATTAAATTAGTATGTGTGCAGGATGAAATTGGAAAAGTTATGAGAGTCAGCATGTTAATTCTATTTCTATCAGGGAGCTAACTGTATGTTATAACTCTGAGAATTACTGGGTAATGGGGCTGTTTATAGTGAAGCAAAACCGAATTTAAATAGCAAATTTGCATCCGTGACTTGTCATAACTCATGAAGCCTCCACCTTGAGGCATGGTGAAATCTCCCTAGTGAAAGGCCTCTGAGGAGAGGGAAGGTGGACAAGTTGGAGCCAACAAGAGCCCTAAAGAGGCTGATGTAGTGAAAGGGCCAGGCCCCGAGGATCTCGCCATGAAGGGAAGGAAAGGCTGGCAGGCTGCACTGTGGCACCCCCATGTAGTAGGTGAGATACAGCAGTGAGAATTTTTGATTGAAAGTTATTCTAAGGCACAGAAGGTGGTAACAGCTTGGTTGGTGAGAGACAGATGAGAAGTGCCAAATCTTTGTTAAGGCATGACCCAGGGCTGAGGGTTGAAAAATGCAGGATGGGTGTATCTATTCGGTACACTCAGATTGATAGAGTGTACCTATCCTCTGTATACCCACATATTCACCCTAGGTTTTGCATCCTAGTATGTATCCCAGAGAGGATTCATACTTACTCTACGTTTTCCTGTGGCTACACTAAGACAACAGATGAAATCTGAAGAGTGCCAAATGACAGAGATTGGGCTTCTAACATACGGGACAGCTGAATGTAGCAGTTAAGATGGCAAACCTACAAGGCCCTAGATTCACCTCTGTTCCCTTAGTGACTAGCTGGGGATGATAACATCCATGTGGATATTGTGAGGATCAAATGAGGTATTTCATTTTAATTGCAGGATGCTTCCATTTTGTTATTATTATTTTTGAAAATAGAAGTGCTTCGCTTTAAGTCACATAATGTCAGAGCTGGAAAATTATGCTACACCTGTGGACTAGCGGTTCCTGTAGTTTGGCCAGTTTTAAAACAAAAAAATCCTGGCCACACACTCATACCCTCCTGGCCCCAACAAATCTGGCTGTACCTTCATTTCTTGGTAGGTTCAAAACCTGTTTTTATTTCCATCTAAAAGCTTTTTTCCCCCCAGATATCAAGAGTGATCCATCTGAAACAGTGATTCTTAATATTCTTTTGTAAATCTTCTAGTCCAGATTTATTCTAGAATTTGAGTTTGTTTTTATATTGTTATAAATATGCCTCTATTTCTAGCTGTATTTAGACGTAACTTTTGGATGCTAATGAAAAATAACACCTTGGGAAGTATGGACATGGGTGGGTAGAAATTTAATTGAGAAAGCCATACCCCAGTAAACTGAGGGAGTTAGTAAAGGCCCATCATGCTATACCCAAGTCATAACATGTTAAATGTTAGCTCCGTTGGTGTTCAACCTCCTGAGACACCTAAGGTCATCCTATTCATTTTCTCCCACAAATCTATCTTTAGTGGAAGATTTTCTTCTTTACATAAAGAGCTATCATTTAAAATGTGCTCATAGTGCTAGAAATTGAGGTGAGTGTATTTGCAAACATTATTATCTCATTTAATTCTTGTGAGGATAGATCCTATTAGATAAGGTAAGGATAAAAGAGGGTAAGAAACTTGAACCAGGACATCCACAAGGAAGTACTTAGCAGGGCTGTTCACTAGGACCTGATGTTTCACTTTCCGGATGTACAGACTTCCTGGAGAGAATGATGTGCTCTGCCCACCCTTGCCCCTTTGCCCTGCTATTATGCCAGGCCCAGACTCTCCTTCCTGAGAGCTTTGCTTCCACTTTGGCTAAGGCCCTTTCCATGTTATATTATCATGTATCTCTTATTCTTATCTTTCTAACTTAACTGTGAGCCCATGTTGATGTTAGATATCCTGAAAGTCATTGTCCTATTCCTGAAAAGTCCTCAATAAAGATTTTTCCTCCACTTAGTGGAAAGTGAATAAAGTTTATTCCTCCATTTATTCCTCCAATAAAAAATTTGTGGAATTAACCAAGGGATGAGTGAATGAATGAAATACTGATTTTTCCTGGCCCATGAAGGACTATGAGCTAAAGCAGCAGTTTAAAGCATATAGTCCCGAACAAGGAGTTTGTAGTGAAAATACATTGGATCTGTAAGGCAGTGGAGGAAGGAGAGAGAGGAAGTCAAAGAGCAGGCTGTGGTACCCCAGGGAGACTGAAGACAGGAGCTTCCCATGGGAGAGGCAGTTCATCCACAGGCTCAGCTTCTGCAACCTCCTTCTTGTGGTTACTCCTGCGTTCTAAGAATTTCGCATGCTGTCATCCAGAAAATACCAAATTCCTTGAAAGCCTGGTGTTTGCCTTGTGGTTTGTGAGCCAATCTCATGACACCACCAGCCCACAGTGCTTTTCCTGATTCCATGGAGGCAAACTAGACAGGGCTTCTAGGAAGCGAAACTTCTTCTGGATAAATATTTGGGGGCTGCTTTAAAATTTTTCTGACAGACCAAGTGGTAAAAATCTGTGTATATTCAGGGAATGCTCTCTCTGTTCTGCAATGCGTTTACTCTCCTGGTAGAAATAACTGCTTCTCTTAGCCAGCTCTTGCTTGGAGCAGTGAAGAGCAAAGTCCTGCCATGTACACACACACACTTTATAAACATATAATGTACAATCAACATGTGCATATATAATGCAATATACACCTGTGTACATCCTGTGTCTATATACTGTATATTATGCATATACAATTTCATAAACAAGCTGGTAGCAGGAAAAGGCAATCATCTATATATTATACACAAGCATAAACACAAAATATACGATATGCAGTGTAAGGTTCATGACGTCTTTCGTTCATTGACATTTGTGCTCCCTTATTAGTGGCAAATTATTAACTTTAGATGAGCCCATCACAGAGTGAAGGCTCAATCCTTGAACAGCCCAAGTAGAACTTCTTGCTACTTCTGAAGAACCCTTTGAAGCCTGTACAAGGGCGATGCCAAATCCACTCAACTTTGACAAAAGTGTGAAACTTCTGTAAAAAGGAGTTCTCTGATGTGTGAGAGGAAACGGAGCCAAGGAGAAGAAAAGAAGGTTCTCTGCTTCCCCGCAGGACCCAGGTCCCTGACTGCTGAGGAGCGCACTCGGTGCACGTCGAGCCGCCGAACGGTCACAGAAGAAAACAAGAGAAAGAAGCAGCAGGCACCGAGGGGCCGCCGGCGCCGGCGCCCGGGACGGCACGTGACCCGGGGGCGGGGCCGCGCGGGCCGCGGGCCAGTGATCGGGGACGGGGGCGGGGCCGCGGCTCGGGGGGCGGGGTCTGTGGCGGCGCAGCTTGTGCCGCGGTCCCCTTATTTGGATCTGCGGGAATTTGGGCTGGAGCGGTCCTGCCGCGGTACCAGCCTCCAGCCTGCCGCCGGGACTGCCCCTGACCCAGGCGCACCCGCTGCTCGGTGGCAGGAGGGCCGGCGGAGCGCCATGGCCTGCATCCTGAAGGTAACGACTCGGATCTGTGGCTCGGACGCGTGGTTGGCCAGCCCCTTGCTGCTCAGAGGCACGGAGTCAGCCGCGGTCCCACCGCATCCTCGTCTCAGTTGTCTTTTCCTGGCATTGATTTTCTTTTTGTTCCTCTGGCAAATGCATATGGAGGGAGATTCTGAAACATGCAGCTGGCACAGCTTCTTTTCCCACCATTCCTGCCTGCTCGCGCCTGCATTGAAGGAGCTGCAGACTGTTGGCTCCAGGGGAGAGCAGGGCTGTGTGCCGAATAATGGGGATGGTAGGAGAGGAGGGGTGTTCCCGCGGGTCCCGCGGCTCTGTGGAGCCTGAGGCCTCTCAGGGGCCACGGGGAGGGGTGGAGTGACTAGGTGTGAGTTGCTGGTGGCGAGGGGCATAGCGCTTGGAATGGAGGGAAGCGTGAGCGGAGGTGGGCTCTACTGTGCATTTGCTCATGTGAAGACAGAAACTTCTGAGTTTACAGGTAGTCCCTTAGGGATGAGTTTTCTATGAGATCGGCTAGCTCTGTGTGCCGTTAGCTCTACTTTGGAAAAGTTCACACGAGGATGTATGTGTTAGCAGAGAACCTCTCACCCTTCTTATGCTCACAAATTTGAATAGACAAAATGATTTTATACTCTGTCAAATTGCGTTCAGCTGCTCCTTCTTTGTTGAGTTTTCTTTCTCCAAGACTGGATTCTTAGCCTCAGCTGAGCATCTTTATGGGTTCACAGACTTGTAGCCTCAGGTGGGGGGACTTGGTGTGTGAGGGCCTCACTTAAAAAGAACTTTCCATCCCACTGTTAGAGGCTCTCCTCCCTGCGCTACGTTTCTACGAGAACATGACCTGGCCACGTGAATCAAAAACATGCACAGCGTGAAAGTTTCCTGGGCCTTGACTGGAAAATGTAAAGGCCTATTTGTCCAAGCATGGGGGAACTGTGTGACGAAGGAAAATACCAGAAAACAATTCGTTGTTGTTGTGTTATTGTGAAGTAGCATTTATTTCTCCGTAAGATGATATGAAGTCATCTACTGCTATCCTGGGTACCTGAATCATCTTCTAACTTGCCTGGTGTTAATGATGCAAACAAGAAGCGATCCTCGTAGAATTTGTTTCTCCTTATTTGAGTAAAGGAGATCAGACATTTCCTGTGATCTTTCTGAACTTCCTCCTTTTGTTTCAGAAAAATTTCCAGGACATAATAAACAGCAGCAAAATCACGAGGAAATAATACATCAGTATTACAATATGGAGTATTTAACCTGGAGACTCTTAGTACAAGGACTGACATATGAATATGAGTCATCTCTACTATTCATTGTGTTATTTGCTGAAAGGGACATTGAGGAGCATGGTATTTATTGTTGGCCATCTTTTTCCCTTTTGGTTTCTCCCTTGCCTTGTCCTGTACATGTGCTAAACATCTTTAATGCACATCCCAAACTACACATGAACCAATTTTTCTCCTCTGGCACGTCACACTGCTCTCAGACTTTGGGACATGTCTGTCCACCTTATCTTCCCTCCACTGAAACTAATCTGGGCTTTAGACTTAGATGTGTCTGGATGCTGGCTCTGGCCACTGCTACCTCTGTGATGCTGGAGAAGTTACTTAAATATCTCTGGGCCTTAATTTCTTCCGTAAGATCAAAGTAGTGACACCTGCTTCACAAGGTTGCTGTGGGAATGAAATAAGATAGGGCGTGAAAAGTACTTTGTGGCACTGGCATTGAATATGTGCCTTTTTTCCCTCTAACGTGTAATAATAACTGCAGTTTGGTTGACCCTTACTATAGCCTCAGTCTGTTTCATATCATGATTATTTTTTATAAAACACAAAATGTTTTTTATTCTTTAATCTTTATATAAAACGCTGAAAGATAGGTATTATTGTTTTAAACCCCATTTTACAAATGAGAAAACTGAGGCTCCCTAATTGAAGAGATTTGCCCAAGGCCACACAGGGTTAATGAAAGAGTGATCCTGGATTTAGACCCAGATATGTCAACCTTCCTTATACTTTGCTGCTGTTCCCAGTACTTTCCCAGGTGATTAAGATGTCCTAATGCCATTCAGTTCCTACCACCTTTGAGCACCTTTGAGCAATCACTTTCTCTAGTTATGTTCCAGACAGTCTGGGCTGGGTCTTTTTTCTTTGTTGTCTTTGAAAAGCTACAACTGGAGCAATGCAGAATACAGGTTTCAGTCCAGAGACCTGAGTTCAGTGTAAGTCTGGCCTCTTGCGTATGATTTTAGACAGCTGCTGCGACTTGGAGCCTCAGTTTTCCCACGTTGAAGTGTTCACAGAATTATAACCATTGCGCTACAGGGTTGCTATGAAGATAAAACTATGGCCCCACCTTTTTTTTTTAAAACGAATGATTTTCTGCCATATGCTGGTCCTGGACTTGATGTGGGCATCTGTAGAAAAGGAAAGATTTTCCTCTGCCTTCTTAGTTTCTGTGCCTGGTTCTGATAACTAAACTGACAAAAAGCATATTAACAGAGGAAAGGCATTCAAATTTTATTCGATGTTAATGTTTTTATTATGTACACAGAGGGCTTCATATATAAGCAATAAAGACTCAAAGAAGGGGAGAGGCCTGAGAGTTTATAAAACATTTTAAAAAAGAAGGCTAAATTGTGGAGATGTGACAAGACAAAGGAAAAAGGGGGTTGGCCTGGGGCAGTAGATTGTGGGAAAGTGACTGGGAAATGTATGGGGAAAACTAATGGAAAATAGGTGAGTGTTTTTAGTAGAGATTCGTCTTGGTGTTGACTCTCCATCTTTGGTCATAAGAATGTTCTCCTCTTTCTGGCACAGAAAGAAGGCACATTTCTCATGGGAACTTTTATGCCTTGCTTTTAGGTAGAAATGGGGAGGTCAGAAAGCCCTTCCTGTGTCTGCTTTTTCTCAATTGCCTTTAGCTCAAAGTAATCAGTATGCCAAAGTGATATATTTTGGGGTGGCCTGTTCTGATTCCTTTTACATCACAAGATGCATAAACCATTGACCCCATTCTCAAACGGCTTGTGGTTTAGTAAGGGTGATAGAAAAGTAAATGAGTGCTTAGGTTACGATGTGAAAAATAAAACTACATAAGCCCCTGGCGGGCACAACGGAAGCATGGACGGAGAGAGCAATTACCCCATCATTGGGTAGTTCAGACAGTTCCCACTGATGATGTTGGAGCTGTGTTTTGAAGACTAAGTAGGATTTACTATGATGGAGCTTGTGTTTTAGGAAGATAACTTTTGAGGCAGTGTCAACTTTGTTCTGTGGGCTAAGACTTTAATTTTTTCAACAGACTTTTGCAGATTTTACTATACATTTTTATAAATGAGAAAACTGAGATAGAGAGATACTGATTAAAGTATCATTATTGCCCACACAACAGTGATGCTCACTAAGAGGAGGCACCCATGGCTGTGGCAGCTAATTTTGGTCTTTTAGGGGAAATGGAACTATCCTCCCAAGGTGCTGTGCATGCTGAGGGCCCATTCTGCCAATGCAGAGGGCTTGTTCTCAGGACAGAATGTTGATCACCTCATAATCATTCAATTTTGGAATACAGACTTCACATTGCCTGGACTTTAAAGCCAGAAATATGTGAATTTTAATTATGGCTCCACTCCTTTTTAATTGTAGGGCCATACCAAGTTTCTTGATTTTACTACCTCAGTTTCCAAAATGGGAATGATCATGCATTCTTCAGTGGGTTCTTCTAAAGGTTAAATGAGATAATCTGTATATTAGTTATATTGCAGGGGGAAAAAAGAAACTCCAAATCTTAACAGGTTCATTTCTTGCCATGCTCCTGGTTAGAAGGCTCTCCTGTGTAGCTCTACCATTGAATAAAGAATCAACTCAAGGACCCGTCTCTTTATTATTATTATTTTGAGACAGAGTCACACTCTGTTACCCAGGCTGGAGTGCAGTGGCGTGATCTGGGCTCACTACAACCTGTGCCTCCTGGATTCAAGCGATTCTCATGCCTCAGGTCTCTGGGACCCTCAGGTAGCTGGGACTACAGGTGTGCCCTCACCCATGCTTGGCTAATTTTTTGTATTTTTAGTAGAGATGGGGTTTCGCCATGTTGGCCAGACTGGTCTTAAGCTGTGGACATCAAGTGATCTGCCTGCCATGGCCTCCCAAAGTGCTGGGATTACAGGCACGAGCCATGGTATCCGGCCTAGGACCAGTTTCTTTTCATCAAGTAGCTCTGATGTCTTCTTGGGTCCCAGAGCCCTTGTCAGATTCTATGCCTTTAGCTGCTCCAGCAGACAGAGTACAGGGAAGATCTCATGGGGGTGTTTAAAAAGTCTCTCAAATTTGTTTTTTTGTTTTTTTTTTTTTTTTGAGATGGAGTTTTGCTCTCGTTACCCAGGCTGGAGTGCAATGGCACAATCTCGGCTCACCGCAACCTCCGCCTCCTGGGTTCAGGCAATTCTCCTGCCTCAGCCTCCTGAGTAGCTGGGATTACAGGCATGTGCCACCATGCCCAGCTAATTTTTTGTATTTTTAGTAGAGACGGGGTTTCACCATGTTGACCAGGATGGTCTCGATCTCTTGACCTTGTGATCCACCCGCCTTGGCCTCCCAAAGTGCTGGGATTACAGGCGTGAGCCACCGCGCCCAGCAAGTCTCTCAAATTTGATTGATAGACAAGAAAATTATTTGCTTTAATTTTTATTTATTTGATTATTAGTGATCATTTTAAATTTGTATTAGTCATTTGTCTTTCTTTTGTAAATTATAGATACTTTGAAATTTTACATAATAAAACCTATCCATATTTTATTTTATAATTTCTACCTTTGGTCAGCAGGTACATTTTCAGCACAGTGTGTTGTACACTTTTATTAAAAAAAATAGGTGAATTGTATGAACTTTTGTATCAGAAACGGACATTGAGTGGACATGAGGGCACAAGATCCTTGTGAATCATTTCTGCTTTGGAGATGATTGTGGTTTTGCCAGGTTGATGAAGCTTAT